TAGGTCCACGGCTCGTATTACGCCGCATGCTAAACAGCCTCTGTCTTGGCCGAGATGATTCTTGTGCCGGGTTTGTACGGGTTTTGCAGAGGATCAGCTCCGATGAAGTTAATCGTGCTTTTGCCCTCATTTACATGGGGGAACGGTGCTTTGTAGTGGTTTTTACGAAACGAAGTAGGACTTTCGATGCATCCAGAACTACTTCGAAAACAAGGGAATGGTTTGGGCTTTACAAGACAAACAAGGCAGGCGGGCCTGAGTTGGTTTTGTCACAGCAGGCTTTCCAGCGCGTCGAGGAACTGTATGGACGTGCACGGTCCAAGCGACGCGCGCCAGTTCCACATGAACAACTGCTGTTTGACAGCAGGATTCAGAGCACTGTCGCCATCCACTTTGAGCTTTGCAGACAACTTGGGTGGCAAAAACGTCTTCAAACTCTGCCAGCTTCTGTCCAGCACCTGAGTTCCGGCTACACAAGAAAGGAGCACACTGCCGGGCTTTACACGCTTGCAGAAGGTCTTTACCTGATGGGTGACATAGTGATGCTCCAGCCCCAAGTCTTTAGCAGCGGCTCGCCAGTTCTGCTGCCGTCCGAGTAAACCGCCGAAACTGCAGTACGGCGTATCTTCTTCAGCAGAGCACTGTCATCGATCTGTTTCCGGGTCTCCGAGACTGGCCGTGTGCCAGGCCGCATGGCGACCGGGCGAGGAAGGAACAACACAGGTGCATTGCCTCTCTCCTGAACACCGAGAAGCATGACATGCACCGCGTACGACTTGCACGTGTGATATCGACCATGGAGTGGCCGACAAAAGACCTCCAAGTGGTCCTCAAGCTCCGCAAAAGCCAGGCTGTCTAGGCTTGCGAGACGGCGGTCACGCAAGGGAATACCAGCTGCTCGCAGCAGCAGGTAAATCGACAAATTGAGCGCCAGCCACTGGAGCATGGCGAGTTTGCTGCTACACTTGTTGAGTCTTGTAGTATTGCTGATTGCCATCTTACCGTTTTGTTGCTGACTGCCGGATTTCGAAGCCCCCGAGCTAGAAGGCTCAACGCAGAGTCAGAAAGCTCTCATGCTGCGCACCTGACATCGGAACTGTTAGGGGATTCGTGGGTCAGGGTGATGTCCGAGCTGAACGAAACTGCACCCCCCCCCCCGCCTCCGCCCCAAACCCAGCAGAGTGGTTAGTAAGGCACCCTGGCCTGCCCTAATCCTCGAAGCCTGTGATGCCTAACACGAAGCGAGCTCTCAAGGACTAACGCAGGCAAAGTGAAAGTCTGAAAACAAACACAATTTGCCGTCCCTAATGAAAGGACACAGTTTCCCCGTCCCAAACATTTAATGGGTGAACATATATTCGCCCGCCGCCGAGGGAAAAAGGCACAGCTTCCCCCCTTCCCAAACACTTGACCCGTGAAGACATACCCACCGCCCCCCGCCGAGCACAAACGGCCGCTTCGTTGTCCCCCGCTACGGAAAAAAGGACACAGTTTCCCCCTCCCGAACACTTGATATTTCCTTGATTGAAGAAATGTCTGCTCGCTCCCTGCCGACGTAAAAAGGACACAGTTTTCCCCCTCCCAAACACTTCGTCCGTGAAGAAATACCCGGCCCCCTCCTAGACACTGAACCCATGAAGTAAAACCCGCTCGCCCCCGCCGACTATCAAAGGACACAGCCTCCCCCCTCCCAAGCACTGCATCCGTGAAGAAATACCCGCTCGCCCGCCGCTGTGAAGAAATACCCGCTCGGGAAAATGTAGAGAGTTTCCCTTTGACTCTGACAAACACTTAAACAACTTAATCCCTACCGGCTCACCCGCCGCCGAGGAAGCACGGACACAGCTTCCCCCTCCCAAACACTTAATCCGTGAAAAAATACCCGCAGGCCCCCACCGAAAGCAAAAAGATACCCGAATGAAAAAAACGGACACAGGTTTCCCCTCAGTCGTCCTCCCAAACACCAAGAAATACCCGCTCCCCCCGCGGAAGGAAAAACAGACGCAGTTGTCCCTTCCAAACACTTAATCAATCCCTGTTTTCCCCCCACCACTGAAAAAATTATCTGCGCTCGGTCTTGGCCCCCCCGCCCCCGGCAGTGAATGTGACCTCAGGCTTGAACAGTGTGACAGTTCTGACGACGACAATTTCAGCACTACAGCCATTAGAGGGCAGAAAAGAAACGCAACAACGAAGAGAAACAGCACATGATACTGATAGAGCTCCAGTTCAACTTAGTCTCACATGCACCGCAGCCACTGCGGCCATCTCAGCACGAACCTAACCCCAAACCTGAAAGATATCAAGGGAGGGGACTGGAAGAAAGCAGATGCAGTACGGACACACACTGCAAAGAGCGTGGCAGACCGTTTCCGGACGACGGCAAGCCATGCAAGGGCTTTTTCAGATCCTTGAGGAGCCCGCAACCTCGAAATGGATGTCCTGCGCGTGAGAATAACTCTGCAGGTTGGCACTTTGCAGCAGATGGCAGGAATGCTGTCCTGGTCGCAATCTGGACGGGACGTGCCCCTTGATTGTCTGCATGGCCATGTCCGGAGACTTTGCAGCTGTTCCTGGGACCGAGTCTACTTCAGCACGCGAGACGCTGCGGCACTGCGGTGCTGCGTCCTGGATGGAAGTCTTCAGCGCCTCCGGGTCTACTTGCATCTCTTGCTGACCGGCCTGGCCGAGGCGCAAAAACACTTTCTGCATGCTTCGGTGCATTGCTTCGGTGCCTTCGGAATGTGCAGGCGCTCCTGGTGACAGGCGTGGTGCACTGCGGGAATGCTCTTCGAAATCGTGCCTGCCCATCCGGTGCAGCCGATTCCGGGAGCCTTACGGAGCTTCGAAGGTTGCGTTGAAAAGAGGACCCTCTGCGGCTCGGCATCGTGCGGCTTTTGGGAGGTGTCACGAGACTCCGTCTGCCTGTGCGGCCGTCGCAGCACTCGCGCAGCATTCGCGGGGCCTTCGCAGTCGCTAGCAATGGCTCTGGCTCCGGCGCTGGCTCGGCTTCCAGGTGGTTCAGGTAGCCAAGGCCTGGCTATACGCAGATCGAGGATGCTCGATTTTCCGGCTCCGAGCCTTCCTGCAGAAGAGCCACGGCACCCTCGCGGTTGGCCACGTCGTATTCGAGCCTCGTGCTCGGAGAACCAGTACAGGTATCAAGGCTCGGAGCACCTCGGAGGGCGCGGCAGCAGCTGTGCGATCTTCTGCAAGAGAGCCGCATAGCTCGCCGCCTGCCACTCTCGAACACGGATTCTATACCTTGCACGGAACTTTCGATGCCTCCGATCGGTCGATGCGCCGCTTCTGCAGGTTCTCCAAGCCCTCGTTGATGGCGTCCTTTAGAGCACGGGCGGGACCGCCGCTACCGGTCAAACCTGAGAGCTGGAGCCGAGCCTGGCAGTCGGCCAGCCCCGCCAGGTCCCCGGTCTCCTGCGACTCTGCGACTCGTCTGCGACTCGTGGCTTGCTTTCTTCCCGGCACACGACGGCCTTGTGCAGCTCCAGCACGGCATCCAGCAGCCGCGCCATGGAAGAGAGCTTGATGATGTCCTGCAGGCTGGAAGTCTCAGAAGGCTGAGAAACCTCCCCGGCTCGACCTTGGAGCACTCCACGCGGAGAGCTCCCAGGATCAGGCGCTTCGCCTCTTCCAGCCGGCCGCGCCTTGGCGCAAACCAAAAGAGGGTTCAAAAAAAAGGGACTCGTGGGGGGGAAGGAAAGGGGGGGCCTCTTGTAGGCGCCGGCCAGGTCCTCCATGGCCCAGCCGGTCAGCGGCTTGCTCGGCCCCAACACCTCCCGCTGCTCAGAGCCACCCTGTGGTTTGATAATGTTTGATAGCTCCACCGTGCTCCGCAGCTTCGGAAGCCTTCATGTAGAGCTCGTAGGACTCCTCGTGTAGAGCAATGGCCCGGTCCCACGACCGCTCTGCCACCTTTCTGAGACAGAACTCAAAGCACAAATCACCCCGCTAGCCTCGCCCGGTTCCCGCCTTCTGCTCACTACAGAAGTCGCCCCTCACCGAGAAGCACTCCCCGGCCTTCTCTAAAAACACGTCCCGTCCCCCTCCCTCTCTTCGACGAGACGAAAAGGGAGCCCGGCTGAGTTGAGCATTTTGCAGCGCATGATCAGATCCGAGGGCCTGGAGACACGACACGTCTCTCCGGGGGTGTCCGGCCGAGAGCTCCGGGTGGCCGGCTCCACCTCGCCTTAGAGGAGAGGAGAGAGGGCCAGGCGCGTTGACAAAACGAAAGGAAGGAGGAGGGGGGGCGTACAGGGGGTGCCAGGCTTCGGGCGGTGCATTGCCAGGGCCTCCTCGATGAGCTGCCCTGCCATTTCCAACCTTTCCGGCCGGCCCTGCTGCCTTCAGAAACGAGCAAAAGCAGTCAAGAGCTGCCAAAACCCCCGTCGTGAAGTTTGACGTTCTTCGAGACCCTGGCAGGGACAGCCGAGCATGGGTCTTACCCAAATCCCACTGGTCGAACCAATGGGCCTTGACCTCTCTGGAATTCAATCCACGCACATCTCACATGCTCACAATTCAGCATGTTTCAGTGCTCCGGACACCGTGCTTCTTCTTGACGTTGACGCATCTCTCGAAGTATTCCAGGGCCTGCCCCAAAAGCTTGAACAATCCCTCCGCAAATGTTTGCCCCCAGCCGAAGAGGAGCGCCTTGTCGTAGTCGTGCAGGCTGGTGTAGATCCACCCGAAGTTGCCTGGAATCAAGAGCTGAGTGGACAGGGCCCGATGAGAAGCGGCGCATTGCCAAGTGTGCGACGATACACTGTGTCGTAGAGCTCCCACGCCTTGCAAAGCAGATCAAACCTGAATCGATGACTTTACATGTCTTTGTCACATGCCCGGTGCCTCGTCCGGAGAGAACTTAATCAAGGTCTCATACTCTTTGTACATCTCAAGAGCTTCCTGCGACAGTCCGCTCAGGCAGCATGCCGATGTCGCACAACACAACTATCCGATTCGTGCGTTCGCACAGCCCGGTCAAGTTCGTGAAGAGAACACGGGATTCGGGCACCGAGGGCCGCAGGAAGCAAGCAATGAAGTTTAATTTGGGAGCGAGTGGTCCCACAAAAAACTTGTTTCGTTTGTCAGATTTGCTACCCCAAACCCAAAACGCACCAAGCCTTGACATGTTTTGAGCCCGAAAGAGTTGTTGGCAAAGTCCCTCCCTGAACGATGTGGCATTGCGGCAAACCCCCAGGGCGCTCCCGACAAGCTTTTGGACCGTCTTGCTTTAAATTTGAACGATTTTGTCCCTTCAGACAAACGTCCTGCTGAGTCGACATGCACGGGCACGCTAGCAAGGGCAACAAGTGCGGCGAGGTTGGAAATTGTTGCTTCAGTAGGCCCTGAATGATATCTCATCATCATGGTTTCGGGGCACGGTTGTTCTTGGGACGCTCTCACATCATCCGAAGAAGCCTTGAAGCTTCGCCTTACGGAAAGCTGGAGCTGGAGCCAGCTCGAGACGATGACATGACTTGCACATTGCTTGGAAGTCAAAAAGCTTGCTCTCAAAACATGCCTGGTAAGCAGGAAAGCAAGCACCGAGAACCAACATCTCGTGTTCAATCCTTCCTGCTGCATCGCAACGAGCTTGTTCAGTCTAGTGCAGCAACGACCGCCCACGAGCAGCGTCGAATCGATTCCGAAAGTTTGTCCGATCGAGTTTTTGACCGCAGACGTCAATTGAACAATGAGAGACAACTCAAAGATTGCATTTCATCCGAAACGCATCACAAAATTTCCGATGCATTTGTAAATATGTGTCAAACTGGGCAATATACCTGCCGCAAATCCCCGCATTTTCCGGCAAAGCGATCGTGTTTTGCAGGAATTTATGAATCGCCGCCTTTGGTTCAATCGCTGAATCGAATCGGTGTGGGTTGAACTGAAGATCTCTGAGCTCTGCCAAAAGAACAAAACACTGAGTTTCTAAGGGTGGGTAGCGGGTGGTAGAGGGAGCAGCACTACGTCAGAATTTCATACAAGAATCAGAGACGCCAGCTTGGGAATACCTGCAATCAAACCCTAAACTTATGAGAATCTTAGCGAACTACAGCTCGTCCACCCCAAATTATTACCAACCCCAAGAGGTTCTGCTGGCGGTTGCTTTTATTTTGCATTTGCTGTTTGCGGTTTCTTTGCGTTGCATTTTTGTTTGCATTTGCTGTTTTCTTTTTTTTGTGTGTTTGCTGCCGTGTTTGAATTTAGCGTCGCATTGTTTTTTTGCATGTTTTTGGGCCGAGGCGGCCCGGGCCCGGCAAAATGCGAAAAGAAGGTGCACCCACATCCTGAGGACGACCAGAACGCAAAAAAACAAGCAGGCCTGGAAGCGGCGGCCGGTCAATGCAAACAAAATGCAAAGAAAATGCAAATGCTCCAGGAAACTGCCAATTTTCCAGATTTTTAAAGATTTCGGCAACGACCGCAAACTTTTGCATTTTTGGGCCTAAACCCTAAAAACGGAGACCCCTAAATGCCGAAACCACGAAGCTTGCACCTTGCAAACCCTAAGCGCTGACACTTTAGAGCCCCATAGACCCTAAACCCCTAAACACTTGCCCGATGATCCCAAAAAACTGAAAATCTCCAAACATCGCGCTTCGGTAGGGGAGGCGAAACAACAGCAGACTCTCGCCTGGTATCTGGACTGCTTCATGCGCACGGTGGTGTAGAAGTTCAACCTTGAAGGCCCGAAGAAGGTCTTGGCGCGGGGTCTCCTAATGCACTAGCTGCGGTAGCTGCTTCTGCATCTGAAACCAGCTTTTCGTGGACCATCTCCCAGCCAGCTAGCTCGAGCACCAGAGGCTTGAGTGGTTGGAATGACGGTGATGATGGTCACACTGATGGTGATTCATTGTGAATTGGGCGATGGATGATGGCAAAAGCAAGGGTGGTGAGGGTGTTGAGGATGACGATGATCGCCATGATGACTGTGGTGGTGCAGATGAAGGCGACCAGCCTGCCTTGACAATAGGATGGTATTGATGATGGTGATGATGCTAATGGCGATGATAATGGTGATGGCGGTGATGGTGGTCATGGTGGTGGTGGTGGTGATGGTGGTGGTGGCGGCGGGGGCGGCGGCGGTGACGCTGGCTGGGGCTGCGGGGCTGCAAGGTGCTGAACTGCAGGTGCTGCAGGTGCTGCAAGTGATGCTTTTGCTGAAGGTTCGCAGCTGCTGGTGATGAGGATGCTGAGGCTCATGCTGATGCTGGTACTGATGCCGACGATGCTGATGAATATCATAGTTATGGTGGTGACTGATGGTGAGTGAAGACTAGGAGCAGGAGGAGGAGAGGATGCAGAAGATGGTGATGATGATGATGATGTTTTGCCGCTGTCGATGCTGATGCTGACGGCGACGACGACGCAGCGACGGTGGTCAAGTTTCAATAGTACTTGTGCTTGTGCTGGAAACCGATGGCATTTCTGAACCATTGAATTGCATCGCCATGCAGTGCCAGTCATGAACACCTGAGCACATGACCCTAAGCACCAGGACCCAACTCGAAGCCCTCCTGAAACCCGACTTTGCCTGAAACTACAGTAAGGTCTGCGCAGCTTGAAGTGCCAGATTCCCCCTCGCTCCAGGCAAAGGGGGAAAATCCGCGCACAGAGGCGATCGGCCTGGCCGCACGGAAAGGCACATGAAGAGCTTGGTCAGAACAATGCGAGCAACACATGATGAAGGAGGGGAACACGATGATGATGCGAAGAAGTAGGCTGCTGGTCAAAATGAAGGTCGCGTTTAAAGCCCGCCACGTATGGGTTTTCCGATTAAGAGTTGCACTGCGTCGGATTTTGACCACTATAAACGGATGAATAAACAGTGTTCTGAAAGTGATGAAGGCGCAAAGCCGGCTACGTTTGCCACGCTACCTGTCTTCCTTCGCGAACTTCGTGCCCTCGGGCAGAACATGTGCGCATTCAGGCGCAAAGGACCGCTCCACCGCCCCGGCTGCGCCAGACACAACGCTCGAAGCACCCTCGGACCGCTCCAGACTCGCTCCAGAGATGCTCCGCCCAGCATGAAAGTGGCACAGGATCCACTGCAACTGCCAAGCCGGTTTCTCTTTTCCTTCGACCCGTGCCCTGACGCAGAACATGTCAGTTCAGATCTCACCGACTCACATCTTCAGCATGATCATCACACCGATTATGATCTTCACAGTGATGGCAGTGAGAAATTGAAAATGGTAAGGACCGGAGAAGGATGGTGAAGGGGTGGCGGAACAGGGCCTTGTCTATCTCGTAGTTTTTGAGATAAGCCTGAGATGGCTTTGGACTCCCTTCTGGGAGGCTGAGCCGAAATCCTTGGCACCCTACGCCGACGAGGTCGATGGCCGTTCCAAGGTTCCTGGGACGTGTCTGGAGGTGCGATCTCCGTCTTGGTCCTACTCCGCTTCCGGGTCCTGCTCTGCCCCAGGACCCTTCTCATCCTGTCCTCAAGGAAAAACGCAACGGCTCTCGGCCACGGCTCCCGCAGTTGACTGCTCTGGTCTCCTCGCTCATGGCCTTCCAATCCACGGAGGATGTGGAGCGCTCCACAATCTCCTCGCCAGAAGTGGCGAAGCGATTCAGACCAAAACGAGGTTCTCCGCAACTGAGGCTCCCTGCCATCAGCTCGTCTCTCTCCCTCGCCTCCGGCTCCTTGGGAGGAGACGTCATGGTAGGTATGCCTTTGGCGCTCGCCTGCAGCGGGGGCCTTTGGCCGTGGCGAGGCCTCGGCCAGGGGATCTTGAAAGCCTCGGCAAAGCCCTGGAAGAGGGCGAGTGGATGTTCCGAGTGGGTGTGGCATCTGCGGCCTTGCGTGGTCTGAGCCCGCGGCTCCCGCCCGGCGCGACAATCTGTCAGGAAGGGCTTTTCCAAAGGCTAGAAGGCCGGCTCGTGCTCGCACATTCGGCTCTCTCCCGGCCTCCCATTCTGCCTCCGCTGCCTCGCAACGGTGGCAGGAAGCGTCTGACATGAGTTTCGGTCCCCAGGGCCGCCGGCCTGCAGGCTCACAGAACCTGCTGGCGTGGCCCCCAAGCAGCACCCAGCGGCTTCAGCCTCCGCCCGTCGCTGCATCTTCCCGTGAGAGCAAAGTGGATCCAGGCTGGGACTCGCCTCCACCTGAGCAGCGGCACCTGACAGCGCGTGGGTCTAACAGCTTTTTTGACAGATCTACTACCGCATCTTCGGGGATTGGCATGCGCCAGTTGCAAGGGTAGGGCGCACCGAGGCCGGGATCGCCAGAGCCCACCGCCGCGCGCAGCACCTGACTGACAAAGCGCGCGCGGACAGCCGCACGACCGCGACGTTCCCCACGAGACGCGCGACAGCCGCATGGGCTAGGCTATACTATAGCACTACTATAGCCTAGCAGTGACCGGCCGCACCGATTCTCTCCAACTCTTTCTGAGCCGAAGGACCCAGCCAGAGGAGCCCGCCACAACCTGAACACGAGGGCGCGAGATGCGCGCGGAGGGGCCCGCTCTTGACTCTTATTTAAAAAGTGGCCTGTCTCGAATGTTGCGATATGCTGGGGCGACGGCTTGCCAGCGCTGCCTCCCGGATCCGTCGTCGTGCTCACAAAGCTCCAGGCACCTGGCACCGCGACCTCAAAACATCCGAGCGCAGCGCTCCCACGCCACCCTTCGAATCCCCTGATCAGGCTCAGAGGCCCAGGCTCAGAAGTCGCCGCCCAGGCGTGGTGCCACCAGACCTGAACGGAGCGCGGAGGGCACGGGCCCTGCTGCCAGGGCTCTGCGGAAGCGGCGGAAGCGGCAGAGGCGCCACATGAGGTCCCGGCAGCCGCAAGCGAAACCAACCTGAGCTTTGGCGCTTTCTGTGCAGCCTGTGCGGCTTTCGCAGTGGCCCCGAGGCCACGGCGGGAAGGGCCGGTGCCGGACTCGAGCTGCCAGCGCTGGCGCCTCGCAGAGAGGCTGAGGGAGGGAGCAGAGCGCAGAGAGAGCGGGTGCTGAGAGGGTGCTGAGCGCTGCAGAGCGGCCCGGACTCGTCGTCGTGGCCAGCGAGCTCCAGACCTCAACGAGAGGCGGTGAGACGTGCACTGACGTGCCGTGACCCTCTCGAGAGCTCCCCGGCCATCACCGCCCGAAGCGGCGCTGAGGTAGACCTCGGCTCCGGGACTGCTACAGCTGCAGGCGCTGCAGGCGGTGCAGTCGCGCCCCGAGCGCGTCTCGAGTCTCAGTCCGATGCTTTGCCTCTCAGCGCGCCGCAGAACTTCAAGTTGTACCTGGTCTGCAGCACTGGGGGAATCCGCAAAGCCACTACGCATTTGGGCTGGGACCATGGGGCTTCGCTATCCTCACAAGCTGCAGCACGCGGGCCGCACATGCGGCTGGGTCTCGAGAGTCTCGCCTCAGCCTGCCTCACGGCCGTCTTCACCAGCTGGGACGCAAAGTCCTTCTCCAGGTGCTTCAAAAGCTCCTCCACTCTGCCCCGGATGCCCCGGCTCATCTCGGACCCATGGCTTAAACTGCTTAAACCTTCGCACGCCACAAATTCCTTGTTGGCTTCTTCCCCCTGCTGGAAGTCAATGTCGCACCACTGCCTCCCAAAGAAAAAAACTACCAGGCCTTGCCAAGGGAAAGCTTGCTGCCGGAGCAGTTGGAAGCCTCCGCATCAAGGCCTCTCGCTCTTCGGTGGCCTTGGCCTAAGACGGAACACACTCAGCATCACTCAGCGAACGCATGAGCCATGTCCGCTGCCAAGGTGCGAGGGTGCGGATGCACTGCACGGCTGCGTCGTCTTCCGTACATGTGCCGCTGTCAATGAGGTCCTCCAGCCAAAAAGGCGTGACACAACGGAAGAAAAGGGCCCGGCCCCGCGTACGCGTGCAGCCTTCGCCTGGGCCTCGAGCTCGTCCGCTTGCCGAAAGGCATTGGACAAACAGAGCTGGGCTCCGCCGGCCCAGCCTCGAGAGCGAAGCGAGAGCGGAGCGGAGAACACTGGGCACAGAGCTCGGACAGCTCGGGCCCCCGGGCCGAAGGACGCCAGGCGCCGATCATTCTCCGAAGCGACCTCGATGGCCCAGTCCTGCCCGCAGAGCTGAAGGTGCTGACAGCATGAGAGGCTCTCGGCAGGCCTTTGGGACGACGCCATGTCCTCTCGCAGCGACAGCTCCAAGAAAGGTCGAGCTGAAAACTCCTTAGCCTGGTTTCACTCCCTGCGGCTGCGCTGTCTCTCCTGTTTCGGCTCCGTTCGGCTTCGGCTGCCACTGCCCGCGGTATTCGAGCACCGTCTCCTCTCCAGATTTGACAACCAAAGACTCCCTAAACCCTTTTTGAAAAGAAAGGATTAGCGGGTTCTTCCGCTTCATCCTCCTCCCTCTCACTCCCACAAGCCCATGCAGAAACATATCCGTCCTTGGTGTCGGGTGTGCCTGGAGACGAAACACTTAACGGGGCGGCGCTTGGTGCTTCTTTCGAGCTGGCCTGCCCCCTTCAGAAGTTCCAGGATACGAGCTGTGGCCCCATCTGCCTGTCGGAGCTTCAGTTTGCTGCATCTGGGCTAGACTGCTAGAGCAAACCCGGCTCGTCCCAGCACTCTGTCGCTCTTTTCCGATCTCTTGCGTCTGCTCCGAGCTGGCTCACGTCCGCGCACCTCCTGCGCAAGAACAGCCTCAACAAGAGCAACTTCCGTAAACTCCTCCGCCTTCTCAGAAAGATCTTGCTTCTTTTGCTACGCACTTGCACTTCCGAACGCTGCGAACAGCGGGCAAAGCCCGGGCAAATCCGTCAGCAGAACTTTCCTGGCTTTGAACAACCTTTCGGCCGCAAGCCCCACCAAGCCCGTTCCTGCACCCAGCTCCAGCACCTCTCTGCCCGCAACCAGCTCGGAGCGCTGAGCGAGGCAGTGCAGCAAGACCAGCGCAGAATCCCAGACCGTGCCGCCTCCGTCAGACATGTTGTCAATGGTGAATATCATGCGAATATCTAAAGACAGCAAAAAAACACACAACAACCCAGATGGGACTCCCAGGCACCTGTGGTCATTGGATCGCTGCTCTCCCAACCCTGGACGTGCGGCGCTTGCGACACGATCACCGTCTCGCCTGAGCATCAGGAGACAACCCTACGCGCCCTCGAGCAAAGCCCAGTTGACCAGAGCCTTCATGAAGAATCTTCACGTTGGCTTTGAAACGCCGCGAGTAGTCACAGAGAGACCTCCGCCACGTCCCCGCCGTATGAACGTCCTCTCGCAAGCCGACCATCGGCTTAATGAATGCACCACACCAAACTCATCGACACCCCTCCTCTTGGCAGCACGGCCTTCAGGGCGACGCAGTCGGTCCAGGCGCCAGAGCTCGAAGACGACGCTCCATCCGAGCTTCCGAGGGCCATGCATGGCACTGGCGATGGCACCGCTCAAAAAAACACCGCTGAGCTTGAGCCCCAAAGCAGCTAAGAGCAGAAGAGCTCCCGTCTAAACGCGCGGCGTGCATAAAAGACGCACAGCCCCTTGCTTGGGCCTCGGAAACACAAGGAGCCATGGGCTCATGGGCCACGCCAACTGCTTCGATTCTGCTATGAGTGCCTTGCTGTGAGAGCGGTGTCGTGCGAGACCCGTACCCTATAGGATTTACCACAGAACAGACAGACGCGGGCCGCGGGCGTGAGCGGCCTCCGGCTCTTTGTGGTCTTTGTGCTGTAAGAACTCTGTAAGTTTGGAGCTGAGGCATTAGGAGCTTGCTTCGCCTCTTCGCCTCCTCGCACCACCTAGATGGTCCCTGTCGTGTCCAGCCGATTCTGGCACCGAGCAAACACAATTCTGATGCCCGAGCAGGACTCGCTGTTCAAGGACATGCCTTAAGCCCAATACGCTAAGTAAACAAGAGGTTCTTGCTCGGATCGTCCATCCGGAAGCAAGGCAGCACCCATCCCATCCCTTACCAATCACAGCTTCTTTTCCCTCTGCATGTGGATCGGAAAGTCAGCGGAGAGCAGCGCTGCACCTTTCACAGGCATGTGCAGGAGGACAGACCAAGGAAAGAAGAACGAGAGAGGGTACCCTCAAATTTCTCTTTGCAGGAAACAGTTTCCCGAAGAAGAGGTCGCGCTGGCCTCTCGCAGACTTGAACAACGCAGGCGTCCCACGGCCGACGGCACCAGGGGGAAAATCGTCTCAGCTTTCATCTGAAAGACCTCTTAGGATTGCGCGACATCGCGACACAGTTGAGGAAAGCCCCCCCTCAGAAAGAAAAGACACAGGAACGCATCCACCCCACGGCCTGGCATCGAGGGCGGGTCCAGCACCTCACGGCCAGCGGGAACCGTGAAAGGCATACATTTGCAAACACTGTGCAGACACACCTTGCATCAAACAAACCGCCGCGCCTCTGACGGCCCTGGGTGGCGGGCCGCTCGGTGCCAGCTCCAGCTGTGGCAACTGCCCAGTTTGCAGCGGCTGCGACGCAGGCCGCGGTGATGCTTGCGCTTGCGGCTTCGGGGGCTCCAGCAGGTTTCGATAATGTGCGAGATCTGATTCCAGTTGGCTGACGCCGGAGAAGTACCTCTCACACTCTTGCAAGGGATCATCTGCAGCCTCGAAGTGCTCAAGCAGGGAGTTGCGCAGAACTTCCAGGGTGTGCACCACTCGGTGGAGGTTCTCCACTTCTCGAGGGAGCATGTTGGAGATCACCTCTCCTCGAAAGCCCTGCAACGTCTCCTCGAAGCGCTTCCCCGCGGCCTCCACGCTCGGCAAGTCGCAGCCGGAGCCGGAGCTGAGAAGAGAGGGCGGAGCGGGCGAAGCGGGCGAAGGCTTCGCCAGGGCCGCCTTGGCCTGGGTTGCGAGGGCCTCGAAGCCTTGGAGCGTCTCTGCTTCGGGGCTCCGTGGGTCCAAGGCGGCCGCCCGGGCCCCCAGCTGCCGCCACAACCTGCGGAGCTCCTCCGAGACGGCCGCTTCGGCCCCGAGCTGCTGCAGCGCGGAAGCGCAGGCGGCGGCTTGCGGCGTCTTGGACAAGGCCGAGAGGTTGGCGACGCCTTGCACGTGGAGGAGCTGAGCCTCGAGGCTTTGGGCGAACTGGAGCAACTCCTCCGCGAAAGCCGTGGCCCGCTCAAGGGTCCAGGAAGCGTTGGAGCCAAGGCCACATGAGACGGAAGCCGAAGCCGCCGAAGCCGCCGAAGCCGCCTTTGGCTTGGTCTCGGGCTTACGGCAGCCCGCAAGCTGGTAGGGTTCACCAACCTGCGAACACGGCCATGCCTTTGCCTCACCCGTCCAGCCAGGAAGGCAACTGGCTGAGACCTCGAAGTTCATCCGATCCAGGGACGTCTCCGTGACGAGATAGCCGACAGATTCGTTCCTCAGACATTTCGTCGTACATCCGGTGAGGCTGTAGGGCTTCTGAGGCTCATCACATTTTCTCACCGTCGCCAGACCATCGAAGCCAACAGATCCGTCGCACGAGGCTTCCACGGAGAAGTCCTCCGAATCCAATGAAACCTCCGTTACCACGTAGCCAACGGTCTCGGTCTCGGCCGGTGTCGCACACAACCCGGAAGCCGGGACCATCTCCGCAGACGTAGAGCAATTCCCGCATCTCGACATCAGGTTTTCAAGGTCCTCCGACCGTGTGACATTCGCCAAGGCCGTTCCCTCCGAGTCCACGTCGGATGCGTCGGAAACCTGCAGAGGCCCTTCCGCGATGCATCCCCCCTCCCCATCACCATCAGCCTCTTCGGACGTCTCAGACTCGGCGCAACTCGAGGCCGGATCCCCGATTCCGTCCAACTCCGAGCTGTTCACATCCGGCTGCGCGTCGATGGTTTCTGCGCCCAGGCTCCTGCAAGGCCGCAGACACCGATCTAATCCGATCTAAGCACTTGCAGGCGTCACACAACAAGTCCAAGAAGCGAGGAACTCGGACTGTTTTTATCCTGCGCAGTCACTGAACCGACAAGGGTCTCTGAGCTGGAACGGATCCGCTCGGCCTTCAGCTCCATGAGAGACTGGTCCTCCTGATCCTCCGACTCGCTTTGATTGCCTTGGGCACGGATCGGAACAAAACCACAGCGAGAGATGCGAAAAGCTGTGAGAACCTACCAACCTGCCGTTTGCAAATGGCGGAGGCACTCGAAACTCAAAGTAGGTCCAATTCAGGGATATTCAAGGTGCATTGGCGCCATAGCTTTGTGAGTTGCACGCTCTGACCTGGGCAAGCACTGAAGAAGCCTGAATCTCCTGGGAATCTGTTGATGCAGCATTTCTGACCGGTACTTACACGGCGCTCACCTGTTTCGCTCCATAGCCATAGGGTCGCGCTGGACACAGCCAAAGACACTCTTCCGGGTGTCTTTTGCTGCCCAAAACTTCCGGTCGTGCTGGCCCTCCGACAGCCCTCAGAAGCTGCCGTGACCCTCAGTCCATGTCAGACTCCTCATCGGCCATGCCACGGATATACAGTACCTAGCAGCTGCCCACACACACAGAGTCAGAGCCACCACGAAAATGCCAGACTTATCCAGACTCTCGAAGGTGCATTGTTGCAGCGGATGAAAACCTCCCCGAGGTTGCCGCGAAAGCTGCCATCAACCTGAAAAAACGCAGGCCTTTGCAGACGGAACCTTCACTAGATGCAGGCAATGAGGGCCGTGCCCACTCTTCTGTGTTCAGCCTTGTGACAGATTTGGAAGTCTCTCATGGGGTGGGGAGGCTTCAGGCTTTCTCAATTCGCCAGGGCGGCAGTTGCAGGTTCATGTACGGGTCAATGGACCTGCCGGCGGCAATGTAACAGCTTGACAGGCAACAGGCCTTCGGCTTCTCTCTTGCAGCGCAGGTTTTTTGCAGGTCGGCTCCCTGCTCCACGCACCTCCGCCGGCTGTGAGCCCAACTGGCAAAGCAAACTGCTGCATACTGCTGCAGTCTGCTCCGGAACAGAGCCGCCACGTCCACAGCTTCGCTTTGATGGCCGAAAAGGAGCGATGAAGCAACCCCTCTTGCACAGTGCAGCACGAGCATCTGCTTTCTCATGCTCCCTTAGGTTTCATCAGCTTCCATTTCATCCAGAATCCATGCGATTCAGACATGGCAGCGACGGCGTCCAAAGTAATTCTACCCATGGACGGGTGCTCCCCGCCAGGAGCCTCGCGCTCCCAGCGTTGAAGCGAAATACCTAGCCCCCATGCAAGGGGAGCGCAGGCATCTGCGCGCCCCGCAAGCGCGCGCGCCGGGCACCGCGCCGGACCGGTTCAACTGAGGCGGTTTTCCCAGTTCCGGAAATGGGGCAACGCGCATTGTTGCTGCAGGACGAAGGCGGCTCCTTATCCACGCGCTTTCACAGGCTTCAGAGTAGAGCGGCAGAAGAGCGGCTCTCCTCCCCCTAAACCCTCCCCCTTCCCCTTCCCTTCACTTCTTCTTGCCGCCGGTCTTGGCCTGTCAGCAGCGCACAAAGCCCCGCTGAACAACGCAGGGGGCCCCCCGGGAGGGAGAGGGGGGGGGGGCCAGGCCTGCGCCTTGCTTTTGCTGGCGCCTCCAAAGGTGGAGCACCCAAAATAAAGACAGAGAGAGAGGTAGTGGGAGAGGCAGGGAAAGAGAGAGAGAGAGAGAGAGAGAGAGAGAGCGGAGTGAAGGCCGCACAGATTTCTCGTGCCTCGACTCCCGAAGCAGAGGCCACAACCTCGGTCGCTCTTCTCTCGCTGCCTCTTCTGTTGCCAGACTTGGGCACCAGACAGCCGCAGCAGCACAAGAGCTTCAGCCCGAAGAGGAAAATCCGCCAGGCGATGCGGAAGGCGATCAGGGCGATCTGAAGGCACACTTTAAACATGCGGAAGCTCTCCAATAGGGCCAAAGGTACGTGCTGCGGCAAGGTGAGCCGCCTGCAGCGTGAGGTAAAGCACCTGCTCGCAATCACCCAACATCGGCCAACACGAACGAGTGCAGGTCCAAATGAAAGCGCCACCCGACCCCGGTTTATGAGCGGCACGGTCACAACCCAGAGGCAGAAGAGGAGGAGGTCTCCAGGCGTGCGGGAAATGATTCCCTTGTGCGCCGGCAGCAGCTGCCTCACAGCTACGGAAAGGGATTCGCGGATGCCGCAGCTGTCCATCTGAGCCCGCATCTCAAAGCCGTCGACCACGGTGTGGGTGACTGAGCCGAAGATAGAGATGGAGCGAGACACAGAGAGAGAGAGAGAGAGACACAGAGAGACGCAGAGAGAGACAAAGAGAGAGCGAGAGAGAGAGACACAGAGAGAGAGAGAGAGAGACATAGAGAGACATAGAGAGA